TTTGAACCCAGGAAAGTCCCCAAATGCAGAGAAGTAACTCGACAAAAAAAATAATATAGAAAAATCTAGAATTCGCGGCGATTGCATGAATTTTGGCTGGGAAAAACGCTTTCGGTCCCCGTCTTGAGTCACATTTAAAAAAAGCTCAATTTCCTTGCGCTCTTGCGTGTTGCGGCGCGAAATCAAGACCTTCGTGTACGTAGAGACTGGTGCTGCCAGGTGTTTCTCCGCGAGAAGCGAAACGGAAAAAAAAACACGGTCGGTAGAACATGATCCTGTCCTTGGGAGCTACACAGAAGATGAGATGAAGGGAAGTATGATTGTATAGTCGGAGGGGATAATCGACCTCGACCTTCACTTGAGAGAATGGCACTTGGGGAGATTCGTGCCCTCGAGCCATTTTTTTATACAAAAATATGAATGCAAAAGTCCCTGGACGATGCCGTTCCTCGCATTCGCGTCGGAACGAAAAAATGTTCGTTTCATAATGCGCTGACGTTAATTAGTGGGAGTGAATTCCGACATGCGAGGTCTGCGTTTTCGTGCTGGCTTCCATTAAAACCATAATTTTCGAGATTCAAGGTCGGAGTGATGAGAGAAAAAAATTTTTTTTTTTTTTGGTGACCCTGGCAAGTTTTTTCGTTTGCCCTTCCAGCATACGAAGACGAAGGGGGGGTCTTGCCTTTTCTTTTCTCCCCAGTTTAGGGTGAATGAACTTGGAAACTCTCCCGCCTGGTGCAGAGACACGGAGTCGCTTCCACGGTTTTCACTCATTCATTTCATGCAGCGGGGTGAAGGCCACCGAGCGACCCGGGACGAGGCGAGGGGGAAAACGAGAGGGAAAGCGAAGGGAGGCCTACCTATGAAGGCAAACAGAAGACACGAACTCCCCTAGTCTCTTCTTTCTTCAACTTCGCACGTTTCCGTGAAAATGTCCCATCACATAGAACAGGCCCCTCTTCCTGGTTTGACTAACACGAGCCACGAAATCACGGAAACTTGAATCACGAGCGGGAGTGTGAGAAGGAAGAGGAGAGAGACACCCGCCGGTCGCGGCAACTGGAGCTGGAATGAGGCGGCGCCGCTCCCGCTGCTCGCCTCGTGGCTGCTCCTCCCGCGGGACCCATGCGGGCCTGCGGGATGCCGTTCGATGGTGTCCCGCGGGAACGATGCGGGCCGATGGGATTCCTTCGATCGCATCCCTCTGGACCGATGCGGGCCTGCGGGATGCCTCGCTCTACGGCCCGCCGCGTCCCGTGTGCCGTCTTGCGTGAAATACGCAGTAATGCGTCTCTTTTGCTCGTTCCGTCGCATGTCTGCAGGAGACAGAGGCATCAACGACTTTATGCCGCTCTTTCGCATGCAGATTCTTCGCAAGTGGCACGGAATCATTTCCAACTTTCGATACTCGACGGAGTCCCGCGCAAAAAATGTTACGCTCTATGGGACAATACAGCAGGGAGTTCGTTTTCGTCGATCAATAGCCCGAGGCGGATTGGAATCATTCCGGGTTGATGGAGACAGAAAAAACATAGGCCTTATTCATTTGTTCCCCGCCCCCTCTTCTCAGCTGAAGCGTATCGAAATGGCATATTCGACGCCGGGGCATATTCGACGCCGGGGCATATTCGACGCCGTGGCGTATTCGACGACGGGGCAACGACCAGAGAGGTCATCCCCTCGGGACATCGGAGATGGCCGGGTCCTTGGCCCCCTTTTTCCCGTTTTTTTTTTTCTTCGCTCCCCTGCGTACCTTGACTCCAGGGTCAACGAGGAGATAATATCCCGTGTGTCTGTTAATTGATGTGCTCAGCAGGTCGCTGCTTCTTCGTCTTCTTTATCCTTTCCCTCCTTTCTGGGTGAACGAATGTTTCACAATGTTGTCGCACGTGTTCGTCTCGGTGTTTCGTGCGATTGCGATTCTCGCCATGAGGCGCCGTCGCGAGTCGTGATGAATTGCTGCACTTAGAGGAGAAATTACCATTCCTTTCCAGCAGGCCCACGGAAAAAAAATTGTTTTATTGTTTTGCGGGATATTGGCGTTTTGGATGACGGATTCGCATAAATCATCTCAAGTGTGGCGAAATGAGACATTCTCTCAGGAATTTGCTGAATATCTGCATTTAGATGGGGTTTGGAGGAACGAATCGACAGGCAGATGAGCAGTGACGAAACGATGGATCTGTTGTAAACGTCTCACTCTTCGAGGATACGAAAATTGCCTCAAGTGGTTATTCTAATGCGAAAGCAGAACGATATTTGCAGCACTCTCGCCTTTTTCCGGCGAAGACCTGCGCACTCGGACCGTTTCGACCTGCAGCCTGTGTAACTGCAATAAACCTATGCCAGGAGCAGCTGTAACCATCGATCAAGGGATGATAGGAACTGACGTTTATACAAGCGAATGCCTCTGCTACTCTCCGATGGCTGGATAGGACAACATCAGTTTCGCGTAATCAAAAAGGCCATCTGGCTGCCGAGCAAACAAAAACGTTAATGATTCCCTCCGTGAATCTTCTCCTAAATGCTGAAAGACTACCTGAAGAAAACAGGAAAGTTGGTTGGGGTCCAGGTTCTCGCCTTCTCGAGACGCCCAAAAAGACGCGGACGCATCAGAAGGCGACCCCCAAAGCAACCCACGAGGCAACCCACAAGGCAATCCCCAAAGCGACCCGAAAGGCGACCGCCTTCCCGCGATTCCGCCTCGCGAACGGCGACGGTTCGTGATGTTCGCAGCAGCTGCTCCTCGATGGAGGCTGCCTTCCTCCGACTTCCACTCCCGAGCTTCCCCTGCAGAGACTCTCGGGCACATCCCCGACCTCCACCCTGACTTCCACCCCGCCCTCCACCCTGACTTCCACCCCGACCTCCACCCCGACCTCCATTCTGACCTTGACCTCCGACCTCTGCTCGATTTTTCCAGCCGTTGGATCATCGAAAATTCCATTTTCCAAATGTCAAAGGATCGACTCGAAATCGAACCATAAATTAGAAATCGATATAAAATTTTTATTGCCGTCGAGAGTTTCGTGAGTTCTGGAATTGATGGAGACGAAAGCCCGATTTTTCCTGCGAGCGGAATTATTTATCATTAATGAAGTGTTAATCAACGTTCGTGACGGCGTCGATGGATTCGCAATCGCGGGCGGGAAAGGAATGGGCTTCGTCGGTGGAATCTTCCTTTTCGACGGGGATCGGCGGCTGGCGGATTGCCGACCGGCGTCGGCAATCCGCCAGCCTCGCCGGTCGATCTCAGAAACTTTAATACATTTTCGAATATTTAATTAAATATTTATAAATAGATAGACGGACGCGACGGGCCGTGAACATTGCGGCACATTGCGGAATCCGGTGGGACTCGGACGAGACCGGATCCGGCCTTCGAGGCGGCCGAAAAGGTTTCCCCAAAAAGGCGGCGAAATGCCATCCGGGTCAGCCTGGACGCGACGTAGCCTTTCTTGGCAAACGGTTCTCATCTCCCCGCATATCGAAAAGGAACTATCGCGATAACCCTGACTCGGTTTCCCGTTCTGGTTTATATGGATGACGGGATGATGTGGATGATGGGATGATATGGATGATGGGATGATGTGGATGACGGGATGACGAGTGAGCGCAGCGCCGAGTACTGTGCCGGAATTTAAAATAAATCGTAATTATGTTTGCGAGTAGTTTGCCTCGCGAAGGCCGTTTTTTTCCCTTCGACGTTTGCCGGAACGATTTGGAGTCATCGGAATTTCATGCGGGGAATTTCTTTCGATCGACGGTTCCGAGATGCGCACGTCTGTCGTCCGTACGTCACTCGTGACGGTCGGTGTGCCGAAGGCGGCTGCCGTCGCCGATTTCGACGCGAAAATCTCTCTGTGGCTCGCGAACGGAATCTGCGAACTTACGGCAGCTTCGGCGAGCAGAAACCGAAAGGGTGAGCAGGGAAAAAAAATCCCGGATCGAAAGGATTAACGAAGATGGCATCGTTCGGCAGACGGACTCATTGGCAAGGGGTGCGACAGGAGCCGGTGGGGTGCGACAGGAGCCAGTAGGGTGCGACAGGAGCCGGAATCGTGGAGGTTCTGGGCTCTCCGGCTGCTATATATGCAAAGCCGGCACCTTCCCGCCGGCAATTATGTTAAGAGTACGATGACCAAGTTCCTCCTGCCCCCGGCATGAGAGGAATTAAAAGAACCGAGAGAGCGAAGGGATGCAAGAAAAAAAAAGAGTACTCGGTGCGGATCGCGACTCCGAAGTACCGAGCACCGAGGGTCCTGCTACCGCAATCGGTCCTCGACGAAACTCGACGCGTTCCTTCGCCGCACTCGAACCCGCCCGATTTCGACACGGGAAAATGCGACTCGAAGCCGTGAAATTCGTGAATAATTTTTCTTCGCTCGCTCCGAAGGCGAAGACGCGACCTTTTCCGTCGCTTCCGGAAAGCTTAAAAAAAAAATTGGACGAACGGCGAAGGTCCGTCGAGAGGCAACCGCGGCGACCAAGGACGGTCGGAGGAAGAGTCGACAGGTGAGAGACGGGAGCTCGTTTGGATCCGCGGGAGTTCCGCGGGAGTTCCGCGGTCCTCGCGGTCCCGGGGAGGTGGAGGTCGGTGCGTCGGACGCGGGCCGGCCCGACCGCGCCTCGACGTCCAGGACGCAAGGTCCTTTGTCCTTTGCCCGGAGCATCGAAGGGAACGATTAGCGCCGACGTTCAAGGATGGGATGGCGTTACGACACGAGAATCTACGGTCTCTGCTCGTCTTGCAAAATCTCTTTACCCTTCCGTGATGACGGGGGCATCGATCAAACAGGGAGGGGGAGGGGGGGAGGGGGGGAGGGGGGGAAGAGGGGGGGGGGGGGGGGGGGGGGGA